TAAAAAGAAAACCTCCCCTTGGAAAGTGGTGGTTATGGTAATAGTGTGCTTTCTGCAGACCAGCGGAGTGTGCACGATGTGTGTTGTTGTCGGGTGAACCGGGTGGGAAACGGAATCAAGGCCATTGCTGTGCTTTTCATCACCACATGTTCGGGGGACCAGAAGTTTCATGTATTCTGCTCATGTATCTTGTAATGTTCATGTGATCATATGTGAGACGTATTTCATTCTTTTCCCCAAGTTGACTTTGCAGCAGGTCTATGCCAGTGTAAACAAAATTAAAACCCTGGGGCAGCAACTGTACATCGAGTCCATGACCAAACCCCCCAACAAGCCAGCGGTGGGGACGCGCGCAGGACGGCCCAGTGGTGAGTCAGCGGGGTCCCCCTCCCCAACGTCTGGCCTCTGCGTGGACATGGGTGTGAGCGCCGAGCACTGTGCTGCGCTTTCCGCAGTCACTTGTCCCGTCGTTGTCGTGATAGCGGCAGCAGCAAGTACTGGACTGGGAGCTGAGGGGGATGGGAATTTAACATAACTGTGAACAACACATTAAAGGCTTTAATGGACAATGTAGGCAACATGCAGGACTCCCTGGGCCATCCCAGCATGGAGATGGAGCGTACACGACCAAATGGCAGAGCTAGGAGTGCTAGACAGAGAAGAATAGATGCCTGCGACCGGCACTCGATTGAGAAAAGAAGCCGTAAATTTGAAGATAGAAAAATAGAAACTGCACAAACCGAAACGCAGCGAGAAATAAAAATACAGACTAGAGCATCTTAAGAACTGAGGGACAGTATCAAGTGTTCTACCAGATGAATAATTAGAATCTCACAAGAAAACTTGAAGAAGTGATGGCCGAGGTTTTCCAGAGAACACTGAGTAGTGGAAACACCAAAAACAGAAAAAGAAAAAACATCCACCACGAATAAAAGCACTCACTGGAGCACAGCCTAGTCAAACTGCTGAAAAGAAAAAGACCGGCTTGAAGGCAGCCAGAGGAAAGCACAGGTTATGTCCAGAGAAGCAAAGGTCAGGATGAAAGCCGACACTTCTGCAGAAACCGTGCAGCCTAGAAGACAATAGAGTCTTCAAAGGAGAAACGGTCGGTGTAGAGTTTTCACCTGCTGGGAACTGTCTTTCAGAACTGAGGGAGATGTGAAGATTTCCTCAGATAAAAACTGGGAACTTATTGCCAGCAGATTTACTCCGTAAGGAATGCTAACGGGATTTCTGAAGGTAAAAGAAATACAATACAGACTTAAGACTCAAGTCCATACGAAGTAATGAAAAGCACTGGAAATAGAATAAATGAAGGTAAAGTCAGTTCTACTTTTCACTTACTTTTAATCGTTCTAAAAGGCAACTGGCAGAAACAAAAACCGTGTTCGCATTTGTGGTTCATGTGAGAAAACTGCAGGCCCAGGGCTGTACCATCGTAACGCCCTTAACGTGCACCTGAAGTAGATGTCATTTGGAGGTAGAAACTGGATCCTTAATGACATATATTGTAGACTTTAGGACAGTTATTACAAAAAGTTTTTAAAGAAGTGGAAACAATGTCAGTAGAGAAGATAGAATAGAATTTAAAACACCCCAACATGAAGCATAAAAAGGAGGTAAAAAGAGCTGTGATAAACCAGCTGGAACAGGTGGAAAACAGCTGGCAGGATGGTTTGTATGAATCCAGCTGTATCAGTAGTCACACTGACCGTGAATGCAGTTGACCGGTTAGGAGATGGGAACGATCAAAGTAGATGGACGGGGAAGATGCAGATATATGTCACCTATAAGAATCCATCCTTTAAAACAAAACCCGGTTAAGAACAAAAGGCCAGGAGAGAGAGACTGTGCCAACAAGATCAGAGAAAGCTGGGGAGCTGCATTAGGTCAGGCCGAATGGACAGGGAGTCAGGAGCGTGAGCAGGGCTTCAGGGGGTAGTGCACAGCCCGAGGGTCGATTCTCTAAAAGCGTAACAATTTAAACACCTCCGTACTGAACCTCAGAGCTTCAGAATGCACAGAGCAAACGCTGGTAAAAGCTTCAAGAGGAACAAATCCACAGCGGTAGCTGGAACATGCCACATACGTCTCTCTGAAATCAGTGAGCCAAGTAGAAAACTAGCAAAGATTCACGACACCTGAACAACAGGATTGGCCTCATCGATGTTACGGAACACTTCAATCGAGAACATAGTACATATTTCTCTCAAGGGCATGTGGGGTAGTCATCAAGATAAACTGGACTTTGTCAAAATTAAAAACTTCTCTTTGAAAGACTTTGGTAAGCCCTCAGTAAGATGGTGAAAAGACAAAATATTTGCAAATTATACATGAAATAGTTTTTATCCAGAATATATCAAGAACTCTAAAAAATTCAGCAATAGGAAGATAATGTAATTTAAAATTATCAAGGGAGCCTAACAGTTTTCCAGATGTTATACAGATGGCAAATAATATATGAAAAGAAAATGCTCAATCTCATTAGCCGTTAGGAAATTAAAACTGAAATATCATCACACACCTATTGGAAAGGCTAAAATTAAAAGAAAAAACTGACAATACCAAGTTCTGGCAAGATTTCAAAGTAACTGAAACTCTCACATATTCCTGAAGGTAATGGTAAAATTGTACAGCCACTTTGGAAAAATAGGCTATTTCTTATAAAGTTAAACATACTCTTACCATATTGTTCATCAGTTCCCTCTTAGTCATTCACACAAGTGAAATAAAAACTCAAGGTCATACAGAAACTGTCTGAATGTTTACCACACTTACTCCCGCTTGCCAAAACTAGGAAGCAGCGTCGATGTCATTTCACAGGTGAGTGGGTGGCCTGTGGCACGCCCACATGATGGGATCCTCCCAACACACAGGAGTGGGCTGCATTCACACACACAGGGTCCTCAGTGCATTTTGCTAAATGAAGGAAGCCAGAACCAGAAGATGACATACTGTCTGTTTCCATTTGGAAAACATCAGTATTGGTTAACATTGGGGAAGGAATTGACTGCAAGAGAGCAGTGGGGGGAGCTGTCGGAGTGACGGAAATGTCCAGTTTCTTACTCTGGTGGTGGATACGCAGCTTTTTGTGCTTTTGTTAAAAACCATAGATCTGTACACCTCATCCCACCCCAAAATGTAGAGGGAACCCAAGATAGCGTGGGCTACGACCTAACGAATGGCGTGATGTAGTCCTTCATGCAGTCCTTCTCTGTCAGCGGTTCTCAACCTTCTGGCCCTTTAAATACAGTTCCTCATGTTGTGACCCAACCATAAAATTATTTTCGTTGCTACTTCATAACCGTAATGTTGCTACTGTTATGAATCGGCCTCTGCGTGGACATGGGTGTGAGCGCCGAGCACTGTGCTGCGCTTTCCGCAGTCACTTGTCCCGTCGTTGTCGTGATAGCGGCAGCAGCAAGTACTGGACTGGGAGCTGAGGGGGATGGGAATTTAACATAACTGTGAACAACACATTAAAGGCTTTAATGGACAATGTAGGCAACATGCAGGACTCCCTGGGCCATCCCAGCATGGAGATGGAGCGTACACGACCAAATGGCAGAGCTAGGAGTGCTAGACAGAGAAGAATAGATGCCTGCGACCGGCACTCGATTGAGAAAAGAAGCCGTAAATTTGAAGATAGAAAAATAGAAACTGCACAAACCGAAACGCAGCGAGAAATAAAAATACAGACTAGAGCATCTTAAGAACTGAGGGACAGTATCAAGTGTTCTACCAGATGAATAATTAGAATCTCACAAGAAAACTTGAAGAAGTGATGGCCGAGGTTTTCCAGAGAACACTGAGTAGTGGAAACACCAAAAACAGAAAAAGAAAAAACATCCACCACGAATAAAAGCACTCACTGGAGCACAGCCTAGTCAAACTGCTGAAAAGAAAAAGACCGGCTTGAAGGCAGCCAGAGGAAAGCACAGGTTATGTCCAGAGAAGCAAAGGTCAGGATGAAAGCCGACACTTCTGCAGAAACCGTGCAGCCTAGAAGACAATAGAGTCTTCAAAGGAGAAACGGTCGGTGTAGAGTTTTCACCTGCTGGGAACTGTCTTTCAGAACTGAGGGAGATGTGAAGATTTCCTCAGATAAAAACTGGGAACTTATTGCCAGCAGATTTACTCCGTAAGGAATGCTAACGGGATTTCTGAAGGTAAAAGAAATACAATACAGACTTAAGACTCAAGTCCTTACAAAGTAATGAAAAGCACTGGAAATGGAATAAATTAAGGCAAAATGAGTTCTACTTTTCACTTACTTTTAATCGTTCTAAAAGGCAACTGACTGAAACAAAAGCCGTGTTCGAATTTGTGGTTCATGTGAAAACACTGCAGAACCTGGGCTGTACCAGCGTAACGTCCTTAACGTGCACCTGAAGTAGATGTCATTTGGAGGTAGAAACTGGATCCTTAATGATATATATTGTAGACTTTAGGACAGTTATTACAAAAAGTTTTTAAAGAAGTGGAAATAGTGTCAGTAGAGAAGATAGAATAGAATTTAAAACACCCCAACATGAAGCATAAAAAGGAGGTAAAAAGAGCTGTGATAAACCAGCTGGAACAGGTGGAAAACAGCTGGCAGGATGGTTTGTATGAATCCAGCTGTATCAGTAGTCACACTGACCGTGAATGCAGTTGACCGGTTAGGAGATGGGAACGATCAAAGTAGATGGACGGGGAAGATGCAGATATATGTCACCTATAAGAATCCATCCTTTAAAACAAAACCCGGTTAAGAACAAAAGGCCAGGAGAGAGAGACTGTGCCAACAAGATCAGAGAAAGCTGGGGAGCTGCATTAGGTCAGGCCGAATGGACAGGGAGTCAGGAGCGTGAGCAGGGCTTCAGGGGGTAGTGCACAGCCCGAGGGTCGATTCTCTAAAAGCGTAACAATTTAAACACCTCCGTACTGAACCTCAGAGCTTCAGAATGCACAGAGCAAACGCTGGTAAAAGCTTCAAGAGGAACAAATCCACAGCGGTAGCTGGAACATGCCACATACGTCTCTCTGTAATCAGTGAGCCACGTAGAAAACTAGCAAAGATTCACGACACCTGAACAACTGTCAACAGGATTGGCCTCATCGATGTTACGGAACACTTCAATCGAGAACATAGTACATATTTCTCTCAAGGGCATGTGGGGTAGTCATCAAGATAAACTGGACTTTGTCAAAATTAAAAACTTCTCTTTGAAAGACTTTGGTAAGCCCTCAGTAAGATGGTGAAAAGACAAAATATTTGCAAATTAAAATCAGTGAGCCAAGTAGAAAACTAGCAAAGATTCACGACACCTGAACAACAGGATTGGCCTCATCGATGTTACGGAACACTTCAATCGAGAACATAGTG